GTAGGATACACGTTCTTGGACAACCTTGGTTTTGCGAGCGCGAGTAGTGGCTTAGCAAGAGTAAGATCATGCTGCGATTCAACTAAGCTGTTGCTTGACACCGTAGGTGGGGTAGTCCAAGTAAATCCGTGAAGAAGTCTGGCCATCAACATAGTAGTCATGGTAGAACCGAGTACGACACCTGGGCATCCACGTCTTCCAGTACTAAATGACAACAAGCCTAATTTTGGATCAACTAGAACCACTTCAGAGCCGTCAGCATTAAGGTGGCGCTCGGGCTTAAACTTTAGGGGCTCTTCCCAAATTTTAGGGTTGCGACCAAGGCTAAGACGACTTATTAGCACATGACTACCTTTTGGAACAAAGTAGCCAGCAACACTGGTATCTGCAATAGATACATGTGGAACATTGAACGCTGAAACTGGATGGAGCCTAAAAGCCTCTTTTGCGCATGCGTTGACGTAGTTCAACTTGGGCAAATCTGATTCTTGGACAAGTCTGCCCCTTCCAACCACTTGGTCTAATTCTTCCACTGCCCTTTGGAGTATCTTAGGTTGATTTATCATCTCTGCAAGTGCCCATTCAGTAGCATTTGATGGATTATCTACTGCGGCCAACATTAGGTCCTGCACGCATGTAAAATTAACAAATTAATGTCTTGTCATGCCATGTAGTCCTTTAATTTTAATTAGTTTTGTTAATTCTAAGTGGTAAATTTATATCTATATGCGGGTTGCATAGTATGTACTTTCAATTAATGTACATTCACGTAGTATAATATTTTTTTTAATACTGTTAAGTGGTAATGTAATAAAAAGTATTAATTATTTAATAGAGAGAAAAAGTTTGAGGGCTTGAGAGAGGGTTTGGAAAGGAAAGGAAAGTGTTCTTACAAGAATTTGCGCCTTGATTTCTGAAGAAGTTAATAGTGGAGCCCCAATTGAGTGGTCAGCAAGCTGAATTAGAACATCAAGAATGTCTTCAGCCTCCTCACTCTTTTTTTTAATCCCATTTCTCCACATGTGAATCCTTTCATCAATTACGGGATCATTGTATTTTTTTATACTTTCCAGAGCTTTGCGGAGGATCCCTTCGTGACCGTCCAAATCAAATAGTCGCAAGCATGGTAGGTAATCTGATATGCTAAATGCATTGATATATGCGAGAACTTTGAAAAGAGCTTCAACATGCTCTATTTCCTCGGGACCTGGCCCTCCATCTACCATTCCTTTTCTGAAGGATCTTTTGTTAAGCATCAGTTTCCTAATCACATTTCCGCAATAATGTTGTGTGACAGTACGTACGTTCACTATGCCACCCTCGTCGTGGTCATTGCACAAATTATACACGTAACCAGTGAGGTGATCAGCTTCTTCCATTCTTTTATCTTGAAGCCAACGGTGCCTTCGAGCTGAAAGCACCTCACTGGTGACGACTCTCCTCATCTTCTTCCATTGGTTGCCGGAAGGCGTTAGAGCTACTGTCAAGTAGCCATAGGTTGGTAATTCTGTGGACATGTGAACAGGTCTTGAAGAAAAAGTGATGTCTTGACTATGCAAGAACTCTTGTGCGACTTCAGGAGAAGTGACAGTAATGACATGAATTCTCCCAAGACGGATGCATGCAATTTCAGTGTTCATTTTATCCATCATTCTATGTATCCATCGGAATGCCGGTTTGTTGACGACCATCCAATGTAGGCACCCAATGAGAGGTAAGGGTTTGGGCCCTGGAGGAAGTACTGGACCTCCTCCTCGTTTCGGTTGTTGTTTTTGGTAACCAAGCTGCAGTTTTAACATATGTATCGCAAGTGTTAAAACTGCCAATGCTATCAAGTTGGCAGAGGAAAAGGTGGATGAGATGCTAGTGAATGCCATATTGGTGGAGGATAAGGTGGATGTGTTGTTAGTGAATGCCATTTTGTTATGAAACAAAGCTTTGTGCAACAAGGTGCGGTTGTGAACCAGTGTTGCAATGTTTCCGCACTCGTTCCTGCGAACATAGCTAGCCTTATATAGTACTAGATCGATTTTAAAAATGGAAATCTAAGTTTAAATAAAGTGTCTTTGTGACGTAGCTTTTGAGTTATTTCTTTTTGTAACCCAAAAAAAAATAAATTGCAATTTTGCTAAATTTCAAAGGTTGACTCGGTTAGTTGGTATTACGTTAATGCGGAAACAGATAAGGAAAATTGGAAACGAACTTTATTCTTAATTTTTCTTTTATAGAGGAAAATAAACTCTAATTTATGGTCACTGATATTGCCAGAGCACAAACAATATAACCTTAGTAATTAGCTTAGATAATGATGGTGTATTAAATGTGGGAGAGCAGAATGAGGTGTGTATGAATTAGACCTTGTTTGAACTACTAGGCTTGTGGAGATTAAAATAAGATTCTTGTGAAATAGGGAATGGTTTGCACAGTAAAATTATAGTGGTTCACTAGATCGAGAACTCTGCTAATTCACTCTTCAACGGAGTCTCTTGCTCTTTGAACTTATATTAATGGCTTGCGAAATTTATAGAATGTTTCTAATACATCGCGGGTCACTTGCCCTACATTGAAGGCGTTGTACAATATTTATAGTTTAATTCCTATCTCTATTGGATCTCTGGCGAGATCTTGGCAAGATCTTCCTTGATTTTGGAAGAGGATCTTGGTTAGTTGAGAGTCTTGTACCTTGATTATAGCTTTCCGTTACTTCGGGGTAGCCTTCTGTTATCCAGTTGTCTCCTTGGCTGTTCCTTTTTCGCTTCAACTGAGGGGGGAGCTGGAGGTTAGGGCCATTGAGCTCTGGGCATCCTATCTGGCCTCCTTATCTGACCTTACTTCCCGAGCTCATACTTAGGTAGAATTCTTCTCAGGTATCATCAGTTACCCCCCAGTCTTTGGTCCAATCGGGCTTGAACAGGGGCTGAACTGAGGCTGGATTGAGGTAGATCTTCTTCATGACAACCTCGATATGCGTACGGATAGGTCTTTGACAGTTTTGGGATAATCATGTTTTTCTCGATTTACACGCACGTCCCCTACTTCAAGGTTTCACATACCGTAAGCCTTAAATGCTTCTGAACCAACGGAAAATGCCTCATATCTCCTTTCAGGTTTTATCTCTAGGCTTTACTCTTTCTTTTCCTTGCGATTTCAATGTCCCAATCCTATTGGAATTCCTAGGGTTTTGCAGAAAATCAATTTCCCCTGGTTCGACTTGAAGGTTCAGCAAAACTTGCTCTTCGACATCGTCTTGAGCTTTGGCCCACCGTACATCCTCATCTAGGTACGCTTCCGTCCTTTGTTCATCTCTTCGTTCTAGATCCCTCGAATCTGAAGTGATTTCTGTATTTTTGGATCCTGTTAACTTAGGAATCGAGGTTACTTCCTGTCTGGTTTTCCTTTTTTCTTAGACCCTTACTCTGTTGCTAGGATCTTTTTCATCAATCGCTGGTGTCTTGCCCCCTTGACCCTCAAAGAGTGTTTTTCAGAGGTTCCCCTTCTCTACAGGTCTTTCAAACTTTCTTTTTCTTGTCCAATTATGTCTGTTTCTTCTGAAGCCACGGGTTCATCTATTTCTCTGATGAGGGATAGGTCTACTAAATAGGACACTGATTTGGGAGACATAGGTGAGGATATTGATAAATTCCCTGGCGTTGATTCTGCCGATGTCAAGGAAAACATCATTACAAGAAAAATATTTTTTAGAGACAAAAACAGTCATCGCTAAAAGTGAATAATTTGCCGCTAAAAATTTTCTATGACAAAAAAACTTGGTCTCCAATTTGTCGCCGTAGGCTCGCCACTGAAAATTTTTTACGACCAACTAAAGTATCGTCGTTAAAGTAGATTATCAGTGACAAAAAACTTAGTCGCTTAAAAATTCATCTACTTGTCACAAAAAAATCTTTGTTGCTGAAAAAAATTATATTATGGTCATATTTTTTCTTGTTGGTGATGACATAATATTTGTCATTGAAATCCAAGGTACATTTTTTGCGACTAATATATTTTCGACGTCAAATAACAAATGAACAAATTTTATAAACGGATAACACGACACGACTCGTTTAATCTGTTTAATTTAAAAAAAATTATATCAATAAATTTTAATACTCCACTTTTCTTACTATTAGTTGTACTTACCTAAAAAAAAGAAGAATTTTTAATCAAATCTCATATAAAGATCAAACTTTAAGTCTAAAATAAAAATGCAAAAGGCCACTGCCTTTTATAGGTAAGTTAGCCCTTTCCATCTCACCTCATTTGCCGATGTGGGACAAAAACAAAAGACATTGGTTTGTCTTACACATCGTAGAATGTCTTTCTTTTTTTTTTGCGACAATTTTTTTTATACATAGCAAAAAGTCGTTGCAGTAAAACGTTTTTCTTGTAATGATATTTTGCGACCAAATATAAATTGTTGCCAAACAAAAAAAAATTTAACTTTTTTTTTCTGCGACAAACATGTTTTGTTGCTAAGTATTATTATTTTTGTTTTCTTATTTTTCATTATTTGACAAAAAGTTTGCGACCGAAAAATTATTTTGGCTACAATTTCTTTTTTGTCACCCATAAAATTAGCATTTAGCGCTAACATTGGCGCCAATTTTTTTTAGAGAGAACGTTTTTGTGAAGACTATTGACGACAACTACAAAAAATGATCGCGAAAAATATCATAAAAAAGTTTACTACGACAAACATTTGAAATTGTCGTTGAAAATCACTTTTTACAACAAATTTTATTGTTCGTCGCAAAAATTCGTTGCTAAAAAATAAATTTGTTGTAGTGCATCGAGGAGCCTCCCTCGTCGCCCTCCCCTGCACCCAAAAACCCTAGTAAAGGTAAAGCCAAGGTAGCTAGTGTAGGGATCTCCGGTAGTGCGGAGGTTATAGGTGTTATCTCCAGAGTTGTAGAGCTTGTGGATGCTAGTGAGGTCTTTCCTTCTTATTTGAAGGTTCTAGTTGCTCGTTTTGGTTTTTCTCTAGGGGTACAGCCCTGGAGCCCAGATGTATATACCCGATATGACTCATCCATTCCTAAGAAAGTCTGTTTTTTCATGGCCACCTTTGAGAACGGCCTTCGCTTTCCAATTCACCCTTTTATTAAGAATGTCTTGCAATACTTTAACATTTGTCCTGCCCAACTCTCTCCTAACTTCTAGGTTATACTGATGGGTTTCCTTGTTTTCTTCAAAAAACATGAACTCGGAGTTCCCACCGTTCCTTTGCTTATGAAGTTTTTCAATTTTAAATGTACTCCTTCAGACAACTTTTTGTACATTTCTAAGCGGGTGAAAACCAAGGTCATCATCTCCGATCTCCCGAGCTCCCAAAAGGGTTGAAAAAAACTTTTCTTCTTTGTGGGGGGCAGACAATGGGAATACACTTCTGCTGACGTGACAGATATTCTTCCAATTCCTCAAGCTTGGTCTGCCCCTAACAATCTGGTTAAGTCCTCTCCTGAGCAAGCTAGGGTCAGTTTTGACAGCTTACCTTACTAACCTTGCTTCACTTATTTTGTTTTGCTTTTCAGGTATTCGTCTAGAGCTTAGCGTAGTGGATAGGTGGGTTTTGTTAAGCCTACAGGACTGCGACTTAGAGAGATACTATGAGCTTATCAAGCCCCAGGTTCTTATAGCGTTTGGATTTAGCCCTCCTAAGGTGAGGATCTAGAACCCTATTCCCATTTTCATTGCTAGTGCTGAGGAGGTGATAGGTCATACTTCCTTTGCCTATTTCTGACTTTTAGCTCTCACCCCCTCTCCTTTTATTTCTGATTTGCTCATTTTGAGTTTCCAGGTTCTTCTTCAATGCAGCTTTCCAATGAAGCACTTCAGGCTAAGATTGCTCTGTTAAAGAAGAGGAGTAGGGGCAAATGCAAGGCCGAGACTGGCTCTGGTAGTGGCCTCATCCCCCAAGCCAAGGTGCCAAGGTTGGGGGTGCCCCCTGCTTCTCTATCTTCAACTCAAATCATACTTATTCCACATACTTATTCCACCATCAAGCTCTCTGCAAACTGTGGAGACCTAATCTCTCCAAGGGACCCCACCTGCCTCTGGGAAGGTTTCTGAGCATGGTTCGACCTCTCCTTCTTTGGCTGAGGTCTAGAGGGCTTTGGAGACGACCTCTCATGTTTAACCTGTTCTTACCTCTTCTGGGCCATCAAAGAAACTTTCGCAACTGTTTCAAATGAGCTCCAAGGTTGAGAAAGGGAAATACGTCAAGGAAAAGAAAAATGATGGCTCTTTCTTCGACAATGTTGAGCTCTCTGTCGGTGCCCTTGATTCCATCATTCCTACTTCCGATGTTTCGGAGGGCTGCTGTTATGCCCCTTGAAACCTCCATTAGTTCAACACTGCATGGAGCTATTGATGTAAGATCCCATTCCCTTTAGATCTTACTTTCACCTTAGGCTGCCATTTTATGCTGACTTTTGCTTTTGGTTGCGTTTATTCATAGCTGGTTATTCTCGTGAAGGGTTTATCGAGTCTAATCCGAGATCTTGAGAGCTCCGCCAAAGCATCGAATGTGTTTGAGCTCAAAGCCATCGAACTAACTTTTGCTAATAATGACCTTCAAACCCAAATTCAAGACCTACAGGCGTAGGTGGAAAGGCAAGTTTCCACTATCAAAGATTTGGAGGCGAACAAGGAGATGATCAAGGAAGACCTTAGGCTTAAGACTGATGCTTGGGCCAAGGCCAACCAGGAGACATTTGAGGCTTTAGGCTCTTACAGGAATATGAAAAGAGAGTAAGATATCTTGGCTGAGATGAGTGATGCTCTCCGAAGTGAGCTCGAGACGCAGAAAGCTGTCGTAAAAAAGAAGTATGCCATAGTCGTCAAGTTGATGGATGATGTTACAACCAAGTGGGCAGCCGAATGGCTTGCTTTCTAAGATTGAGTTGAACAAACATATCCTAGCCTGAATTTTGACTTTGAGATCCTCGCCCAAGAGGAGACGGGGGAGGTCAATGCTGAGGATACCAATGGTGCTTTGGCCCCTTTTGCTCCTGAGCTTAT